CAACAAATGATCATCATCATCATCATCATCATCATCATCATCATTAATAATTTGGTTTCCCCCCCAGGTGAAGAACTTTGCACTTCTCCCTGCTAAATTTCATCGTGTTGTTTTAAGTCCTATGCTTATCAAGATCTTTTTGAATTTTGTTCCTGTCTTCCAATGTATTAGCTATTCCACCCAATGTTGTGTCATTTGATACATTTGATACAATTTGATACATTTGATAATTTGGATGCACCTCCTCATCCATGTCATTGATAAAAATGCTGAAGAGCAGCCAGCTCAGGAATGAGCCTTGGGGTACCCTCTTGCCACCTTTTCCTAGTTTGAGAAGAAGCCATTGATCAGCTCTCTCTGTAACCAACTGTTTATCCAACCTGGCACTTGTTCTATCCACACCTAGTTAGCTTGCTGAATATCATGGGGAACTTTGTCAAAGGCTTTGCTGAAGTCAAGATATATTACATCTACAGCATTCCCTCTGTCTACCAGGGAGGTTACCTGATAAAAAATGAGATAAGATTAGCCTGCTAGGATTTGTTCTTGACAAATCCACTGTGGCTTCAAGTTATTACTGCATTGTTTTCAAGGTTCTTGAAGAGCGACTGCTTTATAATCTGCTTCAGAATTTTCCCTTGGATTGATGCTAGGCTGACTGGTCTGTAATTCTTTGGTTCCTACTTTTGGAAGCAAGGAATAACTAACTAATTACTCTTTTTTTTTGAAGATGGGGGCAATCATAGCTCTTCTCCAGTCATCTGGTACTTCACTTATCTCCCATGATTTCAATAAACAAATAAATAGCAGTTCTGCGATCTCTTCAGCCAGTTCCTTCAAAATCCTTGGATGCTGTTCATCTGGCCTTGGGATCTGAACTCATTTAAAGTAGTAAGGTATTCCTTTACTGTTTATCAATCTCAAACTGAATTCTTTCACCTCTGTTCGTACTTCACATTTGCCTGGAGGAATACAGACTGTCTTTTGGGAGAAGACAGAGCTGAAGTAGGAATAGAGCACTTCTGCCCTTTCTTTGTGACCTGTTATCATTATCCTGTCTCCACTGAGTAGCTGAGCCACTGTATCTTTTCTCCGTCTATTCCTACGCACGTACCTGAACAATGCTTTTTTGCCGCTTAGCATCTCTTGCTAAACTCAACTCATTCTCTTCTTTTGCCTTCCTAATGCCATCCCTGCTATTCTTTGCAATTCTCTGCTATTTGTCTGTACTCTTCCTTTGCAGCCTGCTCTTCCTTCTACTTCCTATGTATGTCTTTTTGTTTTGTTTTGTTTTGTTTTCAGATCATTTCTGAGCTTTTTATGAAGCCACATTGGTCTTTTCTTGCTGCCTTCTATCTAGTTTTCATTTTGGAATTGTTTGTAGTTGTGCCTTGGAATTTCCCTTTTTAGAAACTCCCACCCATCTTGGATTCCTTTTCCTGTTAGGATATTCTGCCATGGAACCTTACTTATAATTGCTCTGATTTTATTGAAATTGGCAGTTCAGTGTAGTCGCGCCCCGCTTAACGATTACCCCGCATTACGATGAATCTGCTTCACGATGATGTTTTTGAAAAATGATGTTTTAAATGGGTTTTTTTTGCTTTGCGAAGATCGGTTCCCTGCTTTGGGAACCGACTCTTCGCATTACGACGATCAAAATAGCTGATCGTCGGGTTTTCAAAATGGCCACCAGCTGCTCAAAATGGCTCCCTGCTGTGCTTAGGGATGGATTCCTCGCTATGCAGGCACCGAAAATGGCCACCGTATGGAGGATCTTCGCTGGACGGTGGGTTTTTAGCCCATTGGAACGCATTAACCAGGTTTTAATGCGTTTCAATGGGTTTTTTATTTTTGCTTTATGACGTTTTCGCTCTACAGCGATTTCGCTGGAACGAATTAACATCGTTAAGCGAGGCACCACTGTATGTGTGCAGCTATACTCTGCTTTTGTTTCTTTTGAAATCACGTAGAAACAAATCAAGTAGAACATGGTCACTCTCCCACAGAGTTCCTCTTGCTGCCACTCTTTCCAACAAATCATCTCTACTGGTTAGGATCTAGTCCAGGATACCTACTCTTCTGGTTTATTTTTGTTGAGAAAATTATCAGCCACACAAGCCAGAAATTTCTTGGAAGGTCCATAGTTGGCAGAATTTTTCTCCCAACAGATATCAGGATAATTGATGTCTCCCATTACTACTTAATCATTTTTTTTTTGTAATTCTTGGAGTTTGTTTTTCAAAAGTTTCATCTGCATTATCTTCTTGATTGCACAGTTGATAGTAGACTCCAACTACGAAGCTCATCCTATATTTATTTATTTATTTATTTACAATATTTTTTAGCTGCACCATTGCCAGTGGCTTCTGGGCGGCGCCAGTGGCTTTCTATGCAGGAGCTTTTTGTTTGTTTGTTTTTATATACAGTGGTGGCTCGAATTACGACGTTAATTCATTCCAGCGAAATCGCTGTAGAATGAAAATGTCGTAAAGTGATTTTTAAAAGCCCATAGAAAGGCATTAAAACCCGGTTAATGCGTTCCTATGGGCTGTGGGCTAAACCGCAGAAGCCTGTGCTGCAGGGTCAGAAGATCCGGCAGTCGTAAGATCGAATCCACGCAACAGAATGAGCACCCGTCGCTTGTCCCAGCTCCCGCCAACCTAGCGGTTCGAAAGCATGCAGAGGCGAGTAGATAAATAGGGACCACCTCGGTGGGAAGGTAAACAGCGTTCCGTGTTTAAATCACACTGGCCATGTGACCACGGAAAGATTGTCTTCTGACAAAACGCTGGCTCTATGGCTTGAAGAGCGGGATGGGCGCCGCCCCCTAGAGTCGGACACGACTGGACAAAAATTGTCAAGGGGAACCTTTACCTTTACCTATGGGCTGGAAACTCACCATCCAGCGAAGATCTTCCATAGCACGGCCATTTTCGCTGCCTGTGCAGCGAGGAATCCATCCCAGAAAATAGCGGGTGGCCAGTTTGTTTACCCGGCGGCCATTTTAAAACTGCCGACCAGCTGTTTAAAAATCATCGCTTTGTGAGAATCGGTTCCCGAAGCAGGGAACTGATCATTGCAAAGCGAAAGTCCCCCATAGGGAACATCAACGTCAAGCGGTTTCGCGTTAAACAGAGCGCCCGTCTTGTGGGGCACCACTGTACTGTCCTTTCAATTTTTTATCTTCTTTTTGAACAAGTTATATCCTTCAATTGCAGTATTCCAGTCATGGGTATCATCCCACCAAGTTTACTCCTATCAAGTAATATTTACCTTTCTGAATTGTGATTTCCAGTTCTTCTTGTTTGTTTCCCATATTTGTGGCATTTGTTTTTCTGCTTTATTTTTGACTGTCATGATCGTGATTATGAGGGTTAGAGCATGTAATCAAGATGGGTTATGTAGTTGTGAAGAAATGTAAAATGGATCCATATTGGTTCTGTGTAAGAATGATTTTGTATGATGAAAATGTTTTTCTTCATGAGCCGTTGGGAAAGTTCCTTGTACCCAGCCATGTCAGGAGACGATAAGGCGTGAAGACACAACATATTGTCTAGATCCAGATTGAGATGAGGAGAAGGAAAACAAGACCTGGATTTCTCCTGGGAACAGAAGGCGGGATGAGAATGGACTTTCCTAATCACCCACTGGTCAACACCTCAAGAGACGAAGAGGAAGGGTGGTGCCAAGAAAGTAGAAAATGGAGTTTGTGCTATGTAGACTGTTCCTTAGTCTAGTGAGAGACTTAGGAACCATTCTGAATCTTTTTTCATTATGGTAGGCTGAAGGGAATTGGAATGTAGAACTTCAGAGAGAAAGGTGGGGGGCTATATCCTATGCCTACTCGTAAAGAAGCTTTTTATGATTTTTAACTATATTTTTGCTTAGTGAATTTTGTTATAGATTTCACTGCAATATTCTGTGGAAATCCAAACAAACTGCACTAGAGGACAGACAGAGTTCTGACTCTTGTCCTCTGAAGATGCCAGCCACAGAGAGTGGCAAAACATTAGGAAGAACCTTCAGAACATGGTTAAAGAGCCCGAAAAACCCACAACAACCATCAGATCCCGGCTGTGAAAGTCATCGAGAATACAAAAAGATGAGCATATATTGAAATGTGAACTTAAACCTAGAAGGCAGAAAAGAGTAAATAGAGTAACGTGGAATTTTGATATAGCAATAGGTATAGAATGGATGTCAGTATGTGATTGTTTCTCTTTTTCCCCTTTAACCTCAACTCCCCTTTTCCTTTCTGTCACCCCTCTTGTTAAAATATATTAATAATAATAAAAAAGAGAATACAAAAAGATGAAAAGTACATAGAACTCTTCAGCAGCAGCAGTCATGTGGGGCACTATAGGTGGAAGAACAGCAAGACAAAGAAGTAGAGGGGAATGATGAAGAGCCTGAAAAACCCACAACAACCATTTTCATCTTTTCTTATAGCCTTAAGCCTGGTCCCTCATGCCTCCAATTCTTTCACTTTCCTCCCCAAAAGTACTACCAGTTGTACTTGCTGCATGTATATGCTGTATTGTTCTCTAGCATGAAGGCAAACATTGCACATACCTTACAAGTCACCACCACTGTTATTTCCTGGCTTTCCTCTTGTTTGTCTATGAGTGCCCTTTCCTTCATTTTATTTGTCTCAACGGCTGCTGGGAAAGTCCACTAATATATAACTATATACAAAAAGCAAACTAGCATTTTTTAAAAAATAAATAATTTTATTAGGACCCTCTCCTGCTGAATTTCCCTGTTAAACTCCTGTTTGCTTTCCTTGTTTGCTGTTTCCCTGAGATCAAACTTGGTTTCATCCCTCTACTGCACTGTTAGGAATCAGCAAACAGAAAAAGGAATATATGGGCAGAAAGAGATTTTTTTTTTGTAAGGAGACAAATTTTGTTTCAATCCTATGACTTCTGCAGTCAAAAAATGATTATGCAGACCATTTAGAATATTTTTGTTTGTCCTGTCTGGCTAGAAATCCTTACCTCCCAAAGGCGGAAGATCCATATGTGGAATCTGGAAGGACAGCACAGCTTTCTTCAACCAAGCCAGGTGGTTGGGCATGTTCCACTTGAGATGAGGAAGCAGCTTGCTGCCCCCAGGCTCTGCAAATTCACTGACAGGCCAGGACAGGTCATAGAATTCTTCTGTAGAGGCAACTTCAGCCAGAAACTGCACCGCACTGTTGTAGAACTCTATTATGGCACCAGGATCTTGTGAGAACAAGGCATTTACACATCTCTCCCTCTTGTCTTGGTGGAACGGCTGATTGAACAGAAAGTCAAGGCCATCTTCAACATACTGAGTAAGTGTTTGGCAGCAAAGATTGATGGAGCCTGGACACTGAGTAACCAGCCATTGCACTGCTTCATATAGCTGTAGGCAGAAGGACAGAGAAGGAAAAAGTTATTTATTGATAAGGCTAGAAAATGCAAACCTCATAATAAATATATTTTTATCTTGATGGAAATACAAACTCTTTCAATCTCATTTTCAAACTCAGCCCTCATGACCACAACTGAGAAGACTGTGTTAACCAATAGGTGAATGATTCATGTACATGGGCACTGATTCAAATCTAACACATTAGCACTCTGAGAAGGATCACAGCCTCAGCTCAACATGCCTCACTCTTCTAATGTGGCTGTGAGAAACTTTATTTCCACTGTAGATCAGATAAGGCAAAACAGTTATCTTTTATTATTATTATTATTATTATTATTATTATTATTATTATTATTATTATTATTATTATTATTATTATTATTATTATTATTATTATTATTACAACAAACAAACAATACATACAAAACATACACGCAGGGAAGTGTTTACCATAGTACAATATCTAATATATAATCTTGACTCCATAACTGTGTTACAGTACTAAAATCTTTTACCTATGTTATATTCTCTACTCATGTTTATTTCTAGGCTCAATCATAAAACATTTTTCAGTTTTCTTTAACATAACTTCTCAAATTCTGAGATAGTATCTCTAACAAGCTATCCCCTTTTAAGCCCAGATCAACCTTGCAACTATAAATATTTATAACCACATATGTTTACTATATACTGAGAATATTTTAACCTGAATTTCTAATCTCTAACACCCTTTTTGCCAGTTTTGAAGTGCCACCTATAGAACATCTTTAAAACATTTTCTCTCAAATTTACTGATTAAATCCATCTGTAATTATACTTCCACATTAGACTCCAATCATATATGTCTAAGTTATAGCCAAGATTTTGTACCCCTTCCATTGTCACTGCTTTCACCCTTTCCTTCTCTGAATTCTCTTCTAACAAATATACATTTTTTTGAATAATCTTCTTATTAGTATAAATCCACAGCTCATCCACCTGGGCCTTCCTCTCATAAAAGCCCATTATTTTATCTTTCTTCAATCTTGATTCTAAAGTCTCTTTTTCTGCTGCTCCGACTGCTTTGATGAAATGGTCTTCCTTCTGAATAATCCGTTCCAGGTCCTCTTTAAATCCTGATTAGCATCTAGGTTTTAATCTGATCCTTAAGTTGATTGATAATGTTCATTTGGAACTCCTTGATATAGTTATTAAAAGAATCTTGCATTATTAATTTTGATGGACTTGTACATTGAATAAAGGCTGTCATTTCTGTTTCTTGGGTACAGTGAGGTTACCTACCTGTAATTCTGGTTCTTCTAGTGGTACTCTGTGAATTCACACAATTGGGTTAATCCTGCACCTGCACAGGGCGCTCGGAAGATTTTAGAGCTATGGAAAAAAGAGTCAATTAGCTCCCCCCAGAGGGTATATAGGCCCCGCCTCCTCCATCTTCCTTTAAGTTCCGTAAATCCGCTGTTATCATATAAAATTAGATAGCAAGGTATCATAACATGGTATCGTGATGGACAGAGGGAAGGGAGGGAGGGATGTGTGAATTCACATAGTACCACTAGAAGAACCAAAGTTAAAGGTAGGTAACCTCACTTTCTTCATAGTGGTCTCTGTGAATGCACACGATTGGGTGAATAGCAAGTTGTACTCACCGGAAGGAGGGCCGTCACGATATCAAGGATGATAGTATCACCCTTCTAAACGCTGCATCATTTTTGGCTCTGATGTCCAGGTGGTAATTGTTACATACAGCACTGATGTTACCTGTCTGTCATGGGTTTGGAGGGAAAGTTCCATCCTATGGGGAGTGGAAGGCGGGACATCAGGAGGAGGGGCTGTACTGTATATATAGGTGAAGCCTGTGTGGTGTGGAGAGTTTAGGAGATGCTGAGAGACACTGGGTTGTGACGAAGCAGCAGCTGGGAAGAAGAAGCTGTTGTGGGAGTCTGTGTGTCAGACAGGGTACTACTGTGTGTCAGAGTACCAACCTGATAGGTTCAGGTGTCTGTTGGTTAGCCAGAACTGATAGGTTCAGGGTCTGTGCTTCAAGTTAAGTGTTCTGTGTGAACCAAACTGTATGCATGTATGAATGAGAATAAGCCACGTTACTTTATCTTATTCCCCTGATTATTTTATTTTCCCTGTGTGTTGTATTTAAATAAACCTTGTTCTGTTATTTGTTTAAAAATCCATCCCTGGTCTGTGTGACTTCTTATAGGGAATGGTTGGTGGCAGCTTAGTTAACGTGTGGCAGATCCCAGTAGGTCTGGGTTTGTCACATTGATTGGTGTCCAGCGTGTGGGATACGACTGGTCCAGTTGTCCAGCGGTCCAGCAAAGCCTTGGCAAGTGTGCCCAGAGCAAGGGGGGTCTAGTCAGGGACAATCTGAGAGCGCGTAGGTAATCTTCTAGGCTTACCTCACGGGGAGGTACGCTAGTGGAAGAACGTGTGACCTCAGATTGGTGGGACTAGATTAGGGAGCTCTGAGGCA